GTGGATCCGAAAAAGAAGCCGGTCCGGCAAAAGAAACGGAACCATGGTAAAGAAAGAAACCAGGCGGCCGCAGCCGAGGTTAAAAAGTTGCTTGATGCAGGGTTCATTCGGCAATATTATTTCCCAAACTGGGTTGCAAACGTTGTGCTAGTAAAGAAGCCGAATGGTACCTGGCGAATGTGTGTGGACTACACTGATTTGAACAAGGCGTGCCCCAAAGATAGCTACCCATTGCCAAAAATCGACAATCTGGTTGACTCAACAGCCGGCCACGCTTTACTGAGCTTTATGGACGCCTACTCTAGCTTCCATCAAATCCCTTTGTGGAAGAAAGATCAGGAGAAGACGGTCTTCGTCACTGATCAAGGGTTGTATTGTTACACGGTCATGTCGTTTGGTTTGAAGAACGCCCCAGCCACCTTCCAAAGAATGATAAACACGGTCTTATTTAACCAAATTGGAAGGAATGTCGAGGCACACATAGATGATATGATTGTAAAGTCCAAGCTTCAGACGGACCATCTGGCCGACCTCCGAGAAACATTCACCACACTCAGGCGGCACCTTGTCATGCTCAATCCAAAGAAATGTGTGTTTGGAGTTGAGTCTGGGAAGTTCCTCAGATTTTTCATCAATCAGAGAGGTATAGAGGCGAACCCTGAGAAAGTACAGGCCGTTATAGACATGCAGTCGCCTCGCACAGTCCGAGAGGTTCAGAAGTTGACAGGTTGTCTGGCGGCCCTGGGAAGATTTCTCAGCCGGTCAAGCGACAAGTGCCTTTACTTTTTTCAGGCAATAAAGAAGAAAGTCAGGTTTGAATGGGGGCCGGATGCTGAGGCGGCCTTCCAAAAACTGAAAGTCCATCTGCATTCCTTACCAAGGCTGGTCAGTCCCTTGCCCAAAGAAGTGCTTTATATGTATCTTGCAGTGTATGACCATGCTCTAAGTGTCGTCCTCCTTGCTGAAAGAGACGGCTGCCAGCTCCCGGTTTACTTTGTCAGTCATGTATTGAAAAATGCCGAGTTGAGGTACCCCCTAGTGGAAAAATTTGGTCTTGATCTCTTCATGGAAGTTAGAAAATTGAAGCCTTACTTCTTGGCACATTCAGTCGTCGTATACACAGATCAGCCAATCAAGCGGCCACTGACAACTATGTAGTCGTCAGGTCGAATGATCAAATGGGCGATAGAGATTCAGAGCCTTGAAATTTCATTTAAGCCAAGAAAAGCAGTAAAGGGGCAAGCATTTGCTGATTTTATTGTAGAGATGACTCAGCCCTCTGATTCTCAAATTTCAGACCAAGTCTGGAAGGTTTACGTGGACGGGAGCTCCACTTCGAATGGGTGTGGGGCAGGCGTCATATGTCAGTCGCCAAAAGGCGACAGGTACGAGTATGCTCTACGTTTTAACTTCCAAGCCTCGAACAACGAGGGGGAATATGAAGCTTTACTGGCCGGTATCCGCATGTGTAAGGCGGCTGGGGCAAGAAGAATAGACGCCTGCTCTGACTCACAATTGATAGTGAGTCAGTATAATGGCGAATACGAAGCAACCCATTCGGCCATGATTAAATATTTACAGGCGGTACGACAAGCGGCCGGGTCACTTGAAGAGTTTCATCTAACTCAAGTACCCAGGTCTGAAAATAACCAGGCGGATGCTCTTTCAAAGTTGGCATCCTCGGCCTCATTTGAAACTCCAAGAACCGTTTTCTGGGAAGTTATGGAAAAGAGGAGTATTGAAGAAGATCCTATCGGAATTCTAGATCGAAGTTCAACCTGGATGGACCCAATCAGGGCATATTTAACATACGGCACCTTGCCGGATGATAATCACCAGGCGGCCTTACTGAAAAAGAGAGCGTCCAGTTTTGAGATGCGAAAGGGGGAACTCTTCAAATAAAGGGTACCTTCAACCCCTCTCGAAATGTGTTACCCCAGAAAAAGGACGAGAGGTCTTAGAAGATCTACACTCTGGATACTGCGCCTCTCATGTAGGCGGCAGGTCGCTTGCTCAATGATCAAGGCGGCAAGGTTACTTTTGGCCTACCTTAGAAGCAGACGCCATGGAGATGGTAAAAAAAATGTGACAAGTGCCAAAGGTTTGGCAAGTTAATTCACGGTCCGGCTACTGATCTCACTGCCATCCATAGCCCACTACCGTTTGCTAAGTGGGGCATGGATATCCTAGGTCCCTATACGCCTGCTACAGGCGGCAGGAAGTACATACTTGTTGCAGTCGACTACTTCACCAAATGGGTAGAGTCAGAGGCTGTTAAGGGAATCAAGACGAAAGATGTGATCTCATTCATCTGGAATAATGTCATCACTCGGTTTGGGGTGCCCATGTCTATGGTTTTTGATAATGGTCCCCAATTTGAGACGCCTGTTCTCAAAAATTGGCTGGGAGACCAAGGCATCTCACACTGCTTTGCTTCAGTCGGTTGTCCTCAAGCAAACGGCCAAGTAGAAGCTTTCAATAAGATCATCTCAGACGGTCTTAAGAAGAAGATTGAGCGAGTAGGCAGCCTATGGGCAGACGAACTACCACATGTTCTCTGGGCCATTAGGACGACTGAAAAAGGGGCGACTAAAGAAACTCCATTCCTCTTAACTTATGGGGAAGAAGCTGTTCTTCCAATTGAACACTATGAGCCGACTCTTCGAATAATGTTGTATGCCGAAGAGGCGAACTGGGAGTCCATGCGCCTGGCATTGGACTCACTTCCAGAACGAAGGGGTAATGCAGCCCTGCGCCATGAAATCTACCGCCTGAGAATGACAAGGTCATATAACAAAAGAGTGCACATGCGTCCACTCAAAGTGGGGGACTTTGTACTAAGGAAGATGGAAGCAGTCGGTAGGACTAATGAGTCAGGCAAATTAACTCCCAACTGGGAAGGACCCTACCGAATCTATGAAGAGGTCCGGGACAGCACCTACCGCCTGGAAACACCAGACGGCCAACCCTTGCCTCGAACCTGGAATGTAGATAATTAAAGAAGTATAATTTTGGAATAATATAAATAGCCAAGAGCTACTAATAAAGTTTTCCATTTTGCTTCATTAGTATTGTACTTAGAAAGGCATGCCGCCTGCTCCATGAGCAGCCGGCTACTCTCCATTTTTTTCATCAATTGAGGGGGATGCCAACAGGTAAAACAGCCGACTACTCTCCATTTTACTCAAATATACATTCAATTGCGAGGGGCACGCCGCCTATGGCTATTCAGTCGGCTACTCTCCTATACTTAGTTCGCCAAGAACTACCTAAGGCCTATGGCCGAATGATCAGACCAGGCGCCCAGCCACCTGATCCAATCTTCAAACTAATACGACATGTCCCACCATCATAGCATGCGTCCGACGGCATCCCTCCGGATGAAATTCGTCGCAGAGAGCAGCTCCCTTTTGGGTGGAACATTGCTCTATAAACTAATTACACGACACCTAGACGACTGTCCCCCAAGGGCAACCTCGTAGTCGTTTTTGAGACAAGGATAACTCTACATTAAACCAAACAAGTGTTAGCAGTTAACATCCGCGTCGGATGGCCGACTGTATTACTTGGGATAAGTACAGTCGGTACCTCTTGAGTAAATAACCAACAAAAATTGGCGAATTAAGGGGATCAGCCGGTCTCCGCCGCCTGGTACCTCTACTACTCAAGCTCAGAAGCTGACAAATGAGTAATCTCAAAGATTACTCATAAGTCACTCTCCCATACTTAGTAGGAATTCAAAAAGGTATGAGGAGTCCGCCTGTCCAAAGGCAAACAAAAGCTCTCGTACTGCGACCCCTACTAGGATGATTTCCTTTGAAACCAAACATGTTTGAAAATCTGGTTCGTAGGCCGACTGTTTTTTGGCAAACAGGGACTCACGAACTATTCTTATTTAATCAAACAGGCGGGCTGGTTAAAAGCGGCCTGTTCCTTTCTAACTTGAAAAAAATTAAACCTAACGTGTTTTCTAAAATACGTTGGGGATCCGACTGGGTAAATGGCCAACTGATCGTCTAACCTGGAACCGAGACAACCAGTCATCCAGGGGCATAGGTAGTCGATACCTGTTCGCAATCTTTGGCTTACGATAAGTTACAAATTTTAAAGTAAAGGCACTAGCCGAAACAGTAGGTATGACATACAAGCAGATAGTAGGATCCTCTACACTTCGCAAAAATAAAGCAGAAACAATATGCAGTGAGAAAAGACGACCGAAAGATGGTCGCTACATTCATATAAACAGCCGGCCATATAGACCGGCAAAATATTCATAAACCCCGGCCCCTTGGCCAGGTAAAGTGATACAAGAACAAACGGCGCGCAGGCCGGAGAAAAGTTTGAAGAAATAAAGCTTTAAGCATTAGGAGGGGCTTCGGTGTTAGTTGCCGCATGTTCGAGCTCAATGATGGACACTTGATTCTCCAAAGCGTCCTTCTTTGTTGTCTCGTCTTCAGGGGCTGGAGCTTTAGATGCATCCACCTCAATTGGTTGTAGCGCCACCACCTCTTCTTCCTCTTCAGAGCTGGAGTCAGCCGCCTCGTCTTAACCAGCCGCTTGTTGCATGATCATTCGATTGTACTCTTCAGTACAAGCGTTGAACTTCTTATCCCAGGCGGCATACTGAGCTTTTGGAATGAGGGTTGTCCAGGTCATCTTCATGATCTGAGCCGAGTCCTCCATCATACACTAGACGAAAAAGATAAAAAGGCACCGGTTCAAACCCCCCTTTGGCACCGGTTTTGAACCGTTGGCTATTTGAGGGATGCCAAATCCATGAAAATTTGGCACCGGTTAACCGGTACTAACTACTATGGCGCGTTTTTTTTTCAATACTATTGGCACCGGTTTAAACCAAGAACCGGTGCAAAAAACCCCACTTTAGGCACCGGTTCTTGCTTTGAACCGGTGCCAAAAGTGTGAAAAAAAATTTTTAAAAACTTTGGCACCGGTTCTAGTCAAAACCGGTGCCAAATATACCCCAAAAAAATTAAAAAAAAAATTTGCATTTTTTCACTTAAATTGATATATAAACATTAACATATATATAAAGTTACATATTTTTCAGTTTTTCTGTTAACTTTCATACACAAACAGCAAGACCAACTCAACTAAAACACAACGACCTCCTAAAAAAAACAGCCTGTAAACAAACACCAAACGAAACACAGCAAATAAAAACAAGCACCCAGCAAAAAATGACAAAAAACAGCAGCAGCCAGTTGAGCAGGACCATCCACATCACAGCAACACACAGCACTGCATAATCAGGAAGAACGAAAACACAACAGCCACACAGAAGCTCCCTGCAGACCCCCAAAACACAGCCTGCACCAGCACCTCGACAACCCAGAAAACAAGGTGGCCTCCATTGCACTTTAGGAGGGGTGCCTGCTTAACATCTTCCCAAGAGGAAGAGTGTACGTCATAATCACAACAGATTTTATGTAGAAGTGATAAGCAACAGCATCTAACACACTGATAAGACAGAAAGAAAAGAAAGTGCTGATGAACATAGATCTTGTTCATAAGTTGATCAGGAAAAAGAACAGAAAACAAGAGAAAATACATTAGTGTGCATATTAATGAGAAACGCACTCGTGTTTGCATCAGAGTGAGATATACCACCAGTATGAATGGAAATGTAGAGCAATTATTTGTGAGGATTGGCATCATAGAATCAAACGCAAGATATACCAACTGGTTACAAATGATTGTTATTTGCCCCTCCGAATCCCCAAACACACTGATTCAGGAAGGCTGCCCAGGCCAGCATGAAACTGCCAAACTGGGAAAGCTACTTTATTCTTCCAAAAATATTAGCAATACTATCATACATTTACAATGTGGTCATTGGGTCTCTTGTGTGATTAGAACTATCTAATAAACATTATTATAAGTGAATCTCAATATAAACACGGGGATCAAAAATGTGAGCAACAACGAAATTACAGCAAATATTAGCTCATGATGGTTGCATTGGTGTCAAATCAGGTGCAGAAAGGGATCGTTAAATAAAGCTTATCCAACGCAACTAATTTAACAAAACACAGAAATTAATGCAGTGATTACAACATTGTCATCAAACCTGATTGAAACCTCAACTATAAGCTACCCTTATGAAACTAAATCCCAAGAATTGAATCGGTTGTATTTTTTCTTTTCTTTGGTACACTAAAATGGCTATTTTCTCAGACTTCCAGCTTAGTTTCCAAAATAAACAGATTTCAAGCTGCCTAGATTTTTGCACAAGTTCAGGCATATTTTAAAACTAGAGCTATTCCGCAGCATAACATCAACTGAAATATGAGGGCATATATTAGAACTTATGACTAAGTTTATTTTTATTAATCGTAACAAGTATTGGACTGTAAGTGCTTTATCTTAACCTTATGAAGAAGCACAGATCCACCGCGAAGATTTCTTGGTGTAATTTCTGCAATGTACACTGGAACCTGTTGTGGCAAAAAATGTTTTGCTTAATCAGTATTGTAATCTCAGTATTCAACTTAGTTTGAATAACAACTAAGTCATAAAAACTAAGTCATAAAAGTATTAAAAACATGTGTTCAGAAACAATTACCACATAAACAGTAAGCCCCATAGCACAACCCACAGATAGTCTACCAACATCAAGTGACCCAGCATCCTTCAAATTTATACCAACAGAAAATTGGATTTAGAATTTTAGCAACTATTAAAATCTCGAAAATTTTAAAAGTCTAGGGAAAAACCATAGAAAATGCGATTGCAACCCACCCAGTGAGGTAGAGTATGTCAGATAAACCCATAGTCTGCACCAAAAATAACGAAGATTGATAAGTGTAAGCTCCATTTGAATACTAATCATATGCATGCTCGAAAAAGGTTAAAAAGAGGGAATACTGCAGAAAAACATAAGGCCATCAAAGTAGAAGGCAAGAAGCTACTCCGTCATACATACAAAAGACTAACTAAGACTCCATAATTAAGATTAGAAAGCATAAATAAAGCAACTTACATCTGCTGTTGAGAGTTTCAGGTCAGCAATGATTCTAGACTGTACAGGGGAGCTATAGCCCATCTATGCATAACAATAGCGATAAACTAGATTAGCCAACTAATTAATATCCTGCTTATCAATTTTAAGATTCTATATATTTAAAGTAACACAACACATAAAATTGTGTTACAAAATTGTTACTCTGTCACAACCATCGAATATATAATATTACTATTTACTATATTCATTTAATGTACCATCTTAGGTCATAACCATTGGACCTTTATATTTGCATGTAATAATCTAATGATTTAATTCATGAAATTGAGAAAAAATAAACTCTGTCAATTTTCAACTCTCAATTATTATTAAATATTTCAATTTGACTTAAATGCATGACATGATGACAATCATGGGCATAACATAACATAACATAAGCAGCCTGCAGTTGATTTTCTATTTTATAATCAGTGGGCTTATTCTAATTTGCTAAAAAGACAGCAATATTGCTAAACATTACATCCAGTGGCTCCAGATATATCAGAATATTAATCAATGTTAATTACTTATTCTTCGTATTAATTACTTATCAGAATATTAATCTAATTGTGACTTACCAACCACGGGTTCAAGGCATTCAGAAACAATACAGATGCAAATGCACTCAAGTGTTCGAAAAGATAAGACCTACAACCTAACATTAATACCTAACCAAAATCAAGCTGGCCACTGAGGTTAAGAAGTGTATTTCACTTAATATTTCTTTAGTATTGCTAGTTGTAATGCTATCCTCATTAGTCATTACTTTCATGACCGAAGAAATGATATTGCTGACTATGCTGAGGCTTATCATCTCAGAATATTCTTTCTAATATTCCCTTTTATTTAAACAAAACAAAAATAAAAATTCAAATGCCAATTTTTTAATAATATATCTTGGTGAAATGAAAGTCGTAGATACTTGCTCATTTGTGTGGCTAAGCAAGTATTACATACCTCTGCATTCGTGTAATTTCGGTTTAGTCATTAGATGTACTTGAGAGTACTTACGTAGAATGTTACAAAAATGGTATGAATTATTGAATCATCATGCTGATAACAAAGATTAAAAAAAATAAAAAATAAATAAATTGCCAAGTAAAATTTATGAATATAAATCATCTTAGATATTAGATGTAGTTGAAGGATATGATCATCTAATAAAAAACAAACTGAAGAGTAGAGACCAGTTTAGCCAGAAATCAGAAACGTGTACAAGAAAGTGGCTTAAAACACAAAAAGATATTTCAATCATTAACCAATACTACATCGGCAACATCACCGTGTATTGGAAAATGATTTAGGCACACCCATTGTAAGACACTTTCTATTCTCTCTTCACGAGTGCCAAAATCCATGTCCCTATGTATCCTAAAATCGCCAAAGACTATTTTACAAAAACAAAACAGTAAAATAAATCATAACTCAAGATTTAGATACAAGTCCAGAATTAAAATTAGTGGGCACATTTGATAAACTATCAACAAATAAACTATAATACTGCTGCAGCCATGAAAAACAATAGATGTTTTTATGTACTCATCAATCAAGATTAACATTATACAATTCCCCACCCAGCCCGACAGCCACTCCCCAGCCCAGCCCCGATAGCCACCCCCTCCCCTGCACCACCACCGAAACCACCCTCCTTCCAGAGCCACATGAGCGCAATAGACCCCCGCCCCAGCCCCACCAACGAAACCGCCCAAAACTTGAATTCCCCAACCCGAAACCACCCTAAACTCCCATCCCTTTCCCCACCCGAAACCTCCACCCCTTTCCCTAACCCTAGTTTACAAGAACTAACCCTAAATTCGAATTTCAAATCAACAACAAACCCTAGATTGCGAAAACTGAAATCGATAATCTAAAAAGGGCAAAAACACTCTCTGATTAATTAGCAGCAATAACTAAACTATTAACCCAAAAACAATGCATGAAACAATTAGAAATACTCAACAGCAACCTAATTATAAATCAAAATAGATAATTACCAATTCAAACTACAATTAGCTCAGACTAAATTGCAAACACTCTCTGATTAATTAGCAACAATAACTAATCATAAGCAAAACCAGAATACCCCAATTAAGCTACAATTAGACCATAGCAAACTGCAACCACTAACTCCAATTGCTTACCTCTGCTTATCCGAGTTTATAGTTGCTGTCAATTGAAAACCCACACCTCGAAACGCCATTGGAGCTATCAATTAACGCAAAGGCGCCGCTGAGCAGTCGGAGGTGACGGACTGAGAGAGGAATTCAGCAAAACTTGAAGAATCTTGCTCTAAATAATTTGAACCCCTCATATTCTGCACAACTTGAAGAATCTAGCTCAAAATAATACTAAACCCCTCAAAATTTCTGCACAACCGAAGAATCTGGATATTAGTTCACCATTTTTATTACTAAAACAATCTCAAACAAGATATAGCTTTAACCAGAATGGAGAAGGTGAAAATTCGGGATGTTGGAAGTAAGAGAATTGAAACTCCAATCAATACCAACCATTACAATTAGAAAAAAAAAAAAAACAAATTCGCCGCTTGGAAACCCTAATAAATAAAAACTACGCAATTAACAGCCAAAAAAACCTAAATTATCAACAAAAATCAATGACGAATAAAAAACCCAATCAATCAAAAATCAGTAAAAACGCAAACAAATTAAAAACACATGCAGTACAACCTCATCTAGGTAACAATACACGACGAAAATCATCAAAACACAATCAAACCAATAAAGAAGTAGAAAATGCAGTTGAATCCGAAAACAGTAGAGTCAAATCTAAGCTAAACCAAACAAAAAGGAAGAAGAATAGGAGGAAAAGACGAACCTTAAAAAGGGGGAAAACGAAAAAACGAAGAAACCCTAATTTGTATTTTTGAAAGAATAGATCAGAAAAAAGGTGAAATATGAGAAAGAAGATGGAAAAAACGGGGGGAAAGAAAGAGAGAAAGAAAAGCAGGAGCCCGGTTTTTTTTTTTAATAAGTTGGCACCGGTTTGAACCGGTGCTGATTAAATGAGTTGGCACCGGTTTTGGTTGGAATCGGTGCCAACTCCCTATTTTCCAATCCCGCCCATTTCTTTTGGCACCAGTTTTCAAGAACCGGTGCTAAAAGGGGGGTGTCTATTTCATTTTTTCTACTAGTGATAGCTTGAGCTAAAGCCATCTTTTCAGCCTCGTCCTTAGCTTTGGATCTTTGGTGATGGCCTCTTCCTGCTTTTGCAGGCGCTCCTTGACGCTCTCCAAGGATTTCTTAAGAGTTTCATGTTGGTGCGCCATATTCTTAAGAGGCTTCAGCTTCTCTCGGAGAGCTTTGATAGTCGCCTCCAGCTCATTATTCTTCTTTTTGGCCGCCTCCAACTCGGTGCGGACAGTCGAAGTGGCCTGCGCCTGATAATAAAGAATTTCAGTTGTCAAAATTTCATTTTGGGCAATTTGAAACATTGCCTTATCGACGTCAGAGGCGGCCATAGCTTTAGCAGCCTTTACCTTTTTGTTCTTGGCGCTGATTGGCCTGCGGAGGCCGTGTACTCGCAGCATGGTCTAGAAAAAGGAAAACAGGCGTCAGATTTGAAAATAGCAGGCGGCACACAAAGTCAACATTTTATAAAAAAAAAATATTCTAAGTCTACCTCGGAAAGGAGACCCATGATGCCGTCTAAGTCAAGGGTGCCGACTCCCTTGACCGCATCCCTCTCCTGTTGAGGGACGGCCTTAATCATAGACTTGGCCATTTGGACCAAGTTTGGTTCTTGAGGGTCGCCTGCATTCAGAAAAGAGAAACATCAAAGACATGAAGAAAGCAAGGAAGAAATAAGTTAAGTCTAGAAGTTAAGAGCAGTTTATACTTCTTGGCGGCCGACTGTCCCCAAGGACCTGTGCTGGTTTACCCACACTTTGTGGGGTGATTGGTTGTTTGTCAGCCAACTGTTTCCTGGCAGATCCAAGCGTACTCCCAGCAGTCGTCTTCCGAACTTTTGAGTCCAGATGTTGGGAGGAAGAGGGTTTGGAAGTGCCCGCCTGCAAAAAAGATGTATGGTCAATACTGATAAAAGCAGGTTTTCAAGACAAGTTCGAAGGCTCGGAGCTTACTATGGGTGACCCCTTGGCAGGAGAATCAGAAGAGGTCCGCTTCTGATGCATGATGGAGGTCCGCAATAAGGCGGCCGCCTTCTTAGATGCAGAAATGTGGTCCATAGCTTCAACTGAAAATGAGCACCACAAAGAGTTAGAATTTTTTTTTGAAAACAAAGCCAAAGATGTGTGCATATGCTCAAGAGGCCGGCTACCTCTGGAGGACCGACTGCTAAGGCCTCAGACGGCCAGAAAAAACTCGTCATAGAGCCATTGAAACTCTGGGACGCAGTTTAGGGGCACTTGCTCTCGTACCCCAGTAGTAGAGTTTGCCCTAATCTCTACTTTGAAGAGTCCTCGGTCAAGGATCTCTTCCCTAGCTTTGCGGGGAACAAGCGGCATGCTGCGACCGCCTGCTAGAAGAGGCGGATCCTTGTTCCACCTATTGTAGCGCTTGTTCAGCAGCTTGTCAGGGCTGGCAATGATGAGGAAGGTGTTTCTCCAATCCTTCCATTTATTTTCTTTGCCCCTCGTCATCAGATAGCCTTTGTGGCTCGTTATTTGGTACCAACCGGATGCAAGGGAAATCGCAGACCAGCCTTAATGGCCGCCTCGTAGCAGCCAAAACAGGCGTCCCCGTAGCTAGTCCCCGCGGGCCAGACGACTGTATCCTCAGCATCCAACACAAATACTTGAAAATCAGGACCCATCACATGGTGCGATAGAAAAGAGTCTATTCGTTCTTTCATGGCCTTGATCCGGCCCTTTGAGACATGACAGTAGTAAGGAGTATTTAGAAGAGTCTGACTCCACCCCTCTCCCTGAGGGGGCCGACCCCTCTTCTTCTTCAGGGGTCGTCTACTGATTGGCCAGGTCAACAGTGAAGTGGGAAGGTGCTACTTTAGCAGAAGGGCCACCTTGGGTCCCTGCGGTATCAGGCGACTGGTCCGACAACTCACTAATCTGAACCCGGAAAGAGGAGCCATCAGAGTTTTCAATCCTCTTGGTCTTTTTTTTTTTCTTGCCATACTGTCCTGCATAGATACAAAGACAGTTGGATTCCGGGACTTGCGCAAAGTTTGAAGTACCGCAGGGCAGTCGGCACCCCTAGTCCTAGACTCAGCCGTCCCCGGTGACCGGCTGATTGCTAACCTAGGTCGTGCCAGATGCTTTTGAGGTCTCGTTTTCAAAAAAGAAAGAAAAAGTGCAAAAGCAAAAAAAATAAAAGAACAGACGGTTACCTGAAACTTAAGTTTTGAAGGAGAGCTTGATCGAACAGCCGCCTAACAAAAGCAGTCGGCCTGTTAAAATAATTGGCAGGTTAAAAGTGGCAAAGTGTCAGAGCTCAAGTTTAGGGTTCCGAGAGTTCTCTTGAAAAGTTCGCAAATGTGAACAAAAGACTTGGTCAAAATGCCCTTATATAGGGCAAAAGGAGAATGCAAAGGGTCGCTTCCAAATTCAAAAAACTAGCGGGAAAAATGCTCGGCCCGTCATAGGGCGACACCTGTAGCAGGCCGTCGCCTGTTACAGGCCGACACCTGTCACAGGTGACATGTGAACAGTCACGTGCCACCTGTGAGGGGCAAATGATTAGGGGATTTTTCCCTACCAATCATCATCTGACAAGTGGACCATTCAGGCTCTGCCAAGTGTCCGCCTCATGGGCCAATGGGAGCATGCCACGTGTCAAGTGTTGACCAGTCCACCTTGGACCTCTTATGCTACGACACGTGGCCTCCCCCATGCCAAATGGGAAAACCGGCCACCTAGGCCCAAGGTCTTGTGGAAGCCCAATCAGCCCTAGGTTGACCTAAACCTAGGACTTGCACGCATCCCAAGGCATATAAATACCTTCATTAATCCTCATTAAAGGGGGTGAAGAAAATTAATTACACTCATCTAAACACTTAGATCACTCTTCACCTAGAGGAACCAGATCTCCCAACCTTTACTTTTCCGCACTATTCACTCCTCATACACATTCTAACTTGATCATCGGAGGCGGAACTCCCACCACAAGGAGTCTCCGTTGTTTTGCAGGTACAGGCGCAAGGATACCAGTCCCGGAATTGTAACTCTCCCGCAGGACATCAGAAAACCCCGAAACAACCTTGGTGTGCTAAACATAGCTGAAGTGTCACCGTTGGTGAATTCTTGGAGGTTAGTTCACTAACACTTGAATGCTTGTATAAGTAGTAATGTAAATTTTATATGTGTAGAAAGCGTGTTCCAAATACACTAGATTTTAGAAAATTTTATTTTTGGAAATTAATTGAATTTGGAAAGAAAAAGATTTTGTTAAAAAATTCATCCTGATTACTTTTTGGAAAATAAAGTGAATTTGTTCAGTTAATGACTGAACAGTAAGCTTACTCATATCCCTTACAACGCTTCATTAATTATAAAAGCATCCCTTACCCACCTCTTCATTCCACTATCAAATCACATAAACCATCGTTAGTAAAAACCATCAAACTCTCTCTAAATCCTTAAAACTTCCAAAACATGGCGATTGAAACCTCGAGAAACTCATCTGAAAAAATTCCAACACCACAACACTCTAAACCTGAAGAAACATCACCTCTACCTATGGTGGTGTACGAATCTCCAAACAAGGAAGACGAAGTTCCTGAAAACCCCACATCCACTACCTCGACTACCAAGAAAAACCCTAAAGATAAAGAGAAAAATTTAGAGGGTTGTGAAGCATCATCTGCATCAGATGTGTTCAAAAGAATTCAAGAGTGGAAAGACAACAAGGCTAAGTAGAATTCCTTGGAAGAACACATCAAGGAGGTAGAGGATTTTGCTGAGGGGGAAGTTCAATCAGAAACTGAGGATGATCATATGGAAGAGGACACGGTTTTGGAGGATGTTAAGAAATATGCTACGAGGTATGTTGTTGGTCACAAACTTGATTTAAAATGGTGTAGAAAAGCTAGGTATTTAGAATTTCTTGATTTGATGTGTTTTCGAGGTTGGGAACATATGATATCTAAGTCATCAAATAATGTCATGTATCCAATTTCTATGAATGAATTTTGCAAGAATTTTAAGGTAAGACAGGGGATTATTTCGAGTAAGGTGAATGATGTTCCAATTGAGTTTGATGTTGAGAGATTAAGAACTATACTGAAAGTTCCTACTGAGGGTTATGAAGCTTATATTAAGGGCAAATCTGGAGTGAAAGTAGGAAATTATCTAGGGGGAGATATTGTTGAGTTTTTGGGAGGCAAAAGGGGGGTTAATATCATGAATCACAACAATTTAAGTCCTATTAATAAATGTTGTTTAATTTGGTCAGAAAAACAATTTTGCCAAGAACTCAAAAGAAAAATGAAGCTAGTTTACTGGATATGACTGTGACTTTTTGCATGGTGAAGAAGATAAAAATCAATTTTCCATCTCTGATGTATCAACACTTAGCACATTGTGTTCCTAATAAGAATAAAGTGGGCTATGGAGCTTTGCTGTCAACAGTGTTTGAGAGTCTAGGTGTGAAGCTTAAGGGAGATTATGGGGGATTTAAAGAGAAGGCTGAGAATGTCATCAATGAGGAAACTCTACAAGGGAATTAGTCTAGCTGTTGTAGACGGGAAGATTTAGAAAGTGGAGGAAAAAGAAAAGAAATCATCAGCTAGTGGAAAGAGGGAGGAGGGAGCTGCATCTGGTGAGCCTGTCAGGAAGAGTAGAAGGCTCGCAGCAAGTTCCTTTCCTCAAACAAGTATGGAGAAACCCTTGGA